TTGTACATTGTTTGTTTGCTGAGTATCTGGAGAGACAACATTGTTGACAAACAAGCCTGACTGGCCTCCTTCACGTCCGCTGCTACTACCTGAAAAGAGGGCGTGGCTACTGTGACTTTCTCTTTAATAAAGAACCACTCTCTTGAGTTAGAAATACTCACTACATGCAGCCATGAGTACAGATGAAGAGGGACCAGAGAGACAAGCAACTTTGGCCACAGCTGAATCCATTCAAAGACTCAGGCTTTCTAATGCAGCACATTAAGACAACCTCAAATAGGATCACTCGCGGCTTCTGCTTTCACAAGTGCTCCTTTTTGGGGTTGTCTTGGATGTGAATTTACCATCCATAATTGTCTGCCTTGTTACGTTTTGAAGGTTATTTTTACGTTTTACAAAACCTAGTCATTCACATTGCCCTGGCAGTTGCACTGACTATTTGAATGCAGTAAGTGCTACTTGTTGGGGTAATGTTGGTGAATTAAGCCACAGACATTTCCATTGTTATGGAATCAATGTGGAAGTAATGGTTAAAATCACACAAAAAGCAGGCATACAAAGATGGACAGGAAATGTATTGCTAGATAGTGGCAACGTTCTGCAAGTTCAAAATGGATATAGTGTGAGGTAATAAACTATTTTATTTTTCATCCATCATTGTACATCGTGTGTTTGCTGAGTATCTACAGAGACAACATTGTTGACAAACAAGCCTGACTGGCGTCCTTCACGTCTGCTGCTAATACCTGAAAAGAGGGCGTGGCTACAGTGACTTTCTCATTATAAAAGAACCACTCTCTTGAGTTAGAAATACTCACTACATGCAGCCATGAGTACAGATGAAGAGGCACCAGAGAGACAAGCAACTTTGGCCACAGCTAACTACATTCAAAAGCTCAAGCTTTCTAATGCATTACATTAAGACAACCTCAAATAGGATCACTCGCAGCTTCTGCGTTCACAAGTGCTTCTTTTTGGGGTTGTCTTGGTTGTGAATTTACCATCCATAAATGTCTGCCTTGTTTCGTTTTGAAGGCTATTTTTGCGTTTTACATTTCCCTGTCATTCACATTGCCCTGGCAGTTGCACTGACTTACTATCTGAATGCAGTAAGTGCTATTTGGCAAGGCAAGTTTATTTATATAGCACAATTCATACACAAGGCAATTCAAAGTGCTGAACAAAATAAGAAAGCATTAAAATCATAAATAATCACAGAACATTAAAAAGAAAGATACAGATATAAAATATAAAATCCCTCAGTTGTATGCACAGCTAAACAGAACTGTCTTTAACCTGGTTTTAAACATTGTCAGAGAGGAGGCCTGTCTCACATCTTCAGGAAGACTGTTCCAGATTTTAGCAGCATGAATCTGAAAAGCAGCCTCCCTATGTTTAGTTCTGACTCTGGGCACTAACAGGAGTCCAGTCCCTGTGCTCCTTAGAGTCCGGGCTGGTTCGTATGGTACTAACATGTCACTAATATATTTTGGTGCGAGGCCATGGTGAGACTTGTACACAAGCAGAGCTGTTTTAAAGTCTATTCTCTGAGCCACAGGAAGCCAGTGCAGAGACCTGAGAACTGGACTAATGTGGTCGTACTTCCTGGTTCTTGTCAGGACTCGAGCTGCTGCATTTTGAATGTACTGCAGCTGTTTTACAGCCTGTTTGGACAGACCTGTGAGCAGGCCATTGCAGTAGTCTAACCTACTGGAGACAAATGCATGGATAAGAATCTCCAAGTCTGCTTTAGACACTATGTTTTTTATCCTGGCAATGTTTTTTAGATGGTAAAAAGCTGCTGATGTTACTGATTTGATGTGGCTATTAAAATTTAAGTCTGAGTCCAGTATTACCCCTAGATTTCTGACCTTGTTTGAAGGTTTTAGGGAGAGAGACTGTAGGTGACAGATGACGCTCTCTCTTTGTTTCTGGGGACCAAAGACAATCATTTCAGTTTTGTCTGCGTTTAGCTGAAGGAAGTTGTTTTGCATCCACCACTGATCTGTTGGATACAGTGAAGGAGTGAGTCCACTGGTCCATGTTCTCCTGCAGTCAGTGAGACATAGATCTGAGTGTCGTCTGCATAGTTATGATAGGACACTTTGTTTCTGCGTATTAACTGACCTAACGGCAGCATGTAGAGATTGAACAGAAGAGGTCCCAGGATCGACCCCTGTGGTACTCCACAGGTCAGGGCCATATGATCTGAGACACAGTTTCCAATCTCCACAAAGTACTTCCTGTCCTCAAGGTAAGACCTAAACCAACTTAGGGCGGTGCCAGCGACTCCAACCCAGTCCTCTAGTCTCTGTAAGAGGATCTCATGGTCGACAGTGTCAAAGGCAGCACTTAGATCTAACAAGATTAAGATTGAGACTTTGCCTGCGTCAGTGTTCAGCCGGATATCGTTTGTAACCTTGACAAGAGCAGTCTCAGTGCTGTGGTGGGGTCTAAAGCCGGACTGAAACATATCAAATGAGTTGTTGATTATAAGAAATCTAGTAAGCTGTAGGTAGACAACTTTCTCAAGGACTTTCCCCATAAATGGCAGATTTGAGATGGGACGATAGTTGTTAAGTACCGTAGCATCGAGACTGCTCTTTTTTAGCAGGGGCCTGATGACCGCAGTTTTCAGGGCCTTTGGGAATATTCCAGAATGAAGGGACATGTTTACTATCTGTGTGAGTGAAGGTAACAGACTGCTCAGAACAGACTTCAGAAATCTAGTGGGTAGTACATCCAAGCTGCATGTGGAGGAGCTCAAACTGGAGATTATCTCTTGGACAGTTTTATCATTTACAGGTGCAAAGTGAGTTAGCTCAAAGAGCCTTTCTGGCTGTTGGATGGTTATCTGTGGATTGGAGACAATGGCGTTTTTGATGCCTTGAACCTTGTCATTGAAAAAATTAGCAAACTCATTGCATTTACGTTTGGAAGTAAGCTCTAATGGCATTTGAACAGGGGGGTTTGTTAATCTATTAACTGTTGAGAACAGAACACGCAGATTGTTGCTGCAGCCTTCAATCATTTCAGAAAAATACCTTTCTCTCGTACTACGTAGCACCCGGTTAAACTCGCACAACTTATCTTTGAAGATCTCGTAATCAACCTGGAGGTTGGACTTGCGCCACTTCCGCTCGGCCCTCCGGCACTTTCTCTTTTGTGCCCTGACCGAGTCTGCTTTAGCCCACGGCGCCTTCTGCTTATTTTTCACTATTTTAACCTTCACAGGGGCAACGGTATCCAGAACATTCAAAGCACTAGAGGTGACAGAGTTAAACAGTTCATCTACAGTAGAATACGATGCATTCTCAAAGTTTATCATTCCCATAAATAATTCACTCGTATTTTCATTGATGTGTCTTCTTCGTACAGTTGCAGAGTCCACTGGTGGTTTGTTAGTGAAACACATGTCAAAAAAAACACAGAAATGATCCGAAAGAGCAACATCGACCACGTTTACATTTGAAATATTCACCCCCTTAGTAACTAACAGATCTAGAGTGTGCCCTCTGCTGTGGGTGGGGCCACTTACGTGCTTAGTGAGATCAAAGGATTCAAGTACAGAACTCAGCTCATTTGCATTTCTGTCATCAACATTATCCACATGAATATTAAAATCACCTGTAATAACCAAACTATCAAAATCTGTGCATACAACTGAAAGCAACTCGGTAAAATTATCAATAAAACTGTGACATGACTGCGGTGGCTTGTACAGGACAATGAAGAGTATTGGAGGAGATTGTTTTTGTTGTATTTTAAAAGACACATATTCAAATGATGAAAACTTCCCAAGAGACATTCTATGGGAGACAAAGTGGTCTCTAAAAATGGCAGCTAAGCCTCCTCCTTTTTTGTTTTCCCGTATTTCAGATTCAAACTTGAAATTTGGTGGTGATGCTTCTATTAAAACTGCATTTCCTGAATTTTGGTCAAGCCAAGTTTCAGCCATGAACATAAGATCAAGATTATGAGAACAAATAAAATTATTGATTAAAAAAGACTTGTTACAAAGAGATCTTTCAAAGTTTCAGTATCAGCGGTTGTGGTCGGCTGATTCTTACACGGAACAAGAATTAGATTTTCCAGATTAGACTGATTAAATCCAGATGTTTTTCTGTAATGTATTCTTTGTGTTATCACTAAGGGAATGGCACAGGTGGCTTCATGACAGGGCCCCAGCCGGGTCTCTCCTCTAACTAGACTGCCAGTGGCTGCGAAGCAGAGACCCTGTGCATCCTAGTGTTTAGAGAAAAGAGGGGAAGGGGAAGGCGGGGGAGGAGGATGGAGAGGTGGGTGGCTTTTGGGTGTTGAACGAGGGGGGCAGGGAGGTGGAGGGGTTTTTGGTGATGGGTTAGGGCCGGGGTGGGCTGAGGCAGAGGTTTTGGGTGTTGAACGAGGGGGAAGTGGGGGTGGAATGGTCATGAGGTTAGGGGAGGGACTGGCTGAGGTGGTTTTTGTAGGTGAATTGGAAACCCTAGGTGGTTTTGGAGGTACATATGGGGAGTGGTTTAGCATGTTGGACAGGACTCTAGATCTAGCTAATATGGGTGTGAGAGGAATAGTCTTCATCGCCGATTTTATTAGCCCTGCAGAGTGTTCAGGTAGGTCTAACAGTGAAGGCGGGGATAAAAAACAAAGGGACGTGTCCCCATTCTCTCTTGATGGAGTGGACGTGGCAGGGGGGACCCAAGACAGGTCCATGGGAGGTGGCGAGGGAGTCTTTGATGGAGGGGCAGGTGGTTGAGGAAACCCCAGCACAGGCCTGTCTGCTGTAGGCTGGGGTGAGGATGGGGGCTTCAGAGGCGCTGTAGATGAAGAAGGCGTGGCTGCTTTGGAGCAGGCTAGGGATGAGGATGTTGGTGGTGGTGGTCGTGCTGCTGGTGCTGCTACTGGTGATGATACAGCTGCTGCTGGTGATGATGCAGCTGCTGCTGGTGATGATGCAGCTGCTTCTGATGACAGTGGAGGTGTTGAGATCCTTTGAGGCGGTGATGGTGTTGAGATCCTTCGAGGTGGTGGTGGTGTTGAGATCCTTTGAGGTGGTGGTGGTGTTGAGATCCTTCGAGGTGGTGGAGGTGTTGAGATCCTTCGAGGTGGTGGAGGTGTTGAGATCCTTCGATGTGGTGGAGGTGCAGAGACTTTTAGAGTCGGCTTCCTCCCTTTCGATGGCTGCACGCGCTGCGCAGGCTGAGGTCTCAGGGCAAAAGAAAGGTTATCCATCAACACTTTTACTCCGTAAGTGTTCAGATGTGGCCCTTTCCCTTCAAAAAGCTCATGCCTATTCCAGAACAGATTAAAATTCTCAATGAAGGCAAGTCCTCTGCGTGAACATTCGTTGAGTAGGAAAGTATTTAGCTGATACAGACGACTGAATTTCATTTGCTTCCCGTCCACATTTGGTAGTGGGCCACTGATAACAATTGTTGCGTCCATTTTAGCAAGGTCGTCCAATAAGAGAGAGTAATCCCGTTTCAACTTTTCACTTGTGTTGTCATAGACATCTACTGCCCCCACGTGGATCAACAATCTTTTTACCCCGCCGGTCTCAGACAGAAGCCTCGGAGCCAACCGCCTTATCTCATCCACTTTGGCAGAGTGTACTGAGTGAACCTTGAGATTACGCATATTTACATTTCTTATCGCCGAATCCCCGATAAAGAGCGACTCAGCTGCATTTGACCTTGACTGAGACTGAGACTGGGACTGAGAGACTACTGCTGATTCATCTTCCAAAAGTGGTGAAAAGCGGTTTCTTGTAATTAAAGATTTTTGCTGTGGCATTATGACACTCTTGTTATCATTAGCTTTGCCTTGTTTGGGCTTGGCACCATATGTGTTCCAACAATTGTCTCTGTTGATTTTGGGAAATGAAATAGCGTCATCATAACTTACGTTTTGTCCATTTGGTCCATTTCCTTTCACTGGTATTGTTGTGTTCAGCCCCAATTCTGATTCAAGCACAAACATTCGGTCTTGAAGAAGTTTTAGCTCCTGTTTGAGTGAAAAACAGCCGTCGCAAAGTTTTGTTCTTTCCCGTCCTCCCGACATGCTGTAAGTTAGGTAAATTCCACAAGTCTTGTGTTGAAGTTTGTAAAAAGGAGTAATCCGTGTTTTGTGGAATAAAAATGTAAGCAAAAATGATTAAATGAGATAAAAAAGCAGCAAGCGAGGAGCAGCAAGAGAATGCGACTGCTCTGTCCAGAGCAGGAAATCAACTTTGTTGGGGTAATGTTGGTGATTTAAGCCACAGACATTTCCATTGTTAATGGAATCAATGTGATCACCTTTTGTTATGGCTTTTTATTACAGTTTATAATGCAGCAAGGGTCTCTAGTTAATCAAGGTGAACTAACCCAAGATTTACCAACAACATTGAAAATACATCAGATCCATGACAAATGTTGGAGGACTTTGGGGATTTAACCCAGTACCTCATGCATGCTATGAATGTAGTTTGTCATTGAGTTCCATCGCTTCTCCAAGTTACCAGAGCTAAGGAAGCAAGCAAATAAGTACTTGTCAAAAACACGCTGAGACACGTTAAATCTCGTTGCTGACAGGATTCGAACCTGTGCAGGGAAACCCCAATGGATTTCAAGTGTTTCAAAAACACACGGCTCGGAACATCTAAGGCGATGGAGGTCGGATAGAGCACCACAATGGCTCACGTAGATAAAGCAGTAATCTCAAAGACAGTGATCGTCCCCAGAGCACACCTCTGGCCCCCACCCCCGGCGAGTTCAAAGGGGGCCAGTGGGTCTGCATCGCCTCCAAACAAAGCCATAGACATCACCCATGGGCCGGCGCTCCGTCAACGGCGTTCCAACACCCCCCCAGTGGACACGGGACGCCAGTACACCTGAGACGGACAACTGAAACCATGGATGAATATGTTGTTTTGCTAACATCTTAAATCAGAAAACGTGTGTACCATTGTCTGTGAACAAGGTGTGTTGTGTGTCTATGTCTAAGTAACGTGTATGTGGTTAAAACTATGATTTCATGAAAGGAGTTCTGGAGGCGTGGAAAGTTGACGTCATAAGACACGCCCCCAGAGCCGGAACAAAAACAGAGAGACAGCAACTTTTTGTGTGTTAACTTTTGCTTGTGAACCTTTTGGGAACACTTTTTTGAAACTTTCTCTGGGCCAGTGGGCCGTGTCTTGGAGCGCGGCCCACTCCCCTGCGCGATCCAGGGCCCACAACTTCAACCCAGGCGCAGGTTGGAGCTCGCTGCCCGGACAAATGGCCGATCCTTTTCCTTATCGAGCTGAACTCGACTTGCCTGTCCCGCAGCGGCGTAACTGCTCTCCAACTCCCACCAAAAAGGAGCACCGTGGACCATCGCGCCTCAAGCCACCTCCGGGCTTCCCGGGATCGATCCCCGCTCCCTGCTCCCGTGTGTGGGAAAGACTGGAGTGTGTGCGCCCGCTCTCCGTGCGTGAGGAAGACTGAAGTGTTTGAGCGCCTGACCCAAATGGGTGGAAAGCATCTTCACCTCTGGGACTTGGCAGTAACAGTAAGACTTGCTGGAGTTGTATTGTGTGTGATGGTGATGTGTTTCTGACATTCCTGTTCATGTGACTTATCATACTTGTGTGATCCCCCCGGTTACCGTTCCCGTTTCTATATGTAGTTAATAAACCCACGCTAATGTTACGGGCCCCAAGCTGTGGGGTTGCCGTAGCAGTAATAGTAATCTGTTAGAAAGGAAAAAGAAGACAGGAGGCAGTGAGTTTTGGGTTGACGCAGCCTCGCTTCATAGTATATCTTTAATACAAAAATCTAATACATTTACATATTTAGTCTGTCTGATCAACAAACATATTCGACTGTCTGACAACACACATGACCAAACAGAAATAAGTAATCATCAATACCGTTTCTGTAGCTTTCTACATTGTACACAAGCCAATACTTGAATAGCCAATACTTGATTGAAATCGTGTTCCTACTACGGTTTGACCTGCTTATTAATCCTTTTATTTATACACAAAACTGAACATTAGGAAAATGTTTATACTGTCTCAAAAATCTTAAACAGCCTTTTTAAACTGGAACCATTTAGCAAAACATTGGGATAATGCACTTTTGTGAGTGCAAGTCAAGAGCGGGGGCGCCGCCATTACCCGAACTCGTGCCCACGCGTATAGCACGACTGAATACCTTAATTACATCTTATCTTGTTACAAACCGCTCGAAAAATTGGCTATCTCTAACCACATCATACCTTACATGTATGTGTTATTTAAGCATGGGCTTAGAACCGTATTACCTGTTAGAAAGGAAAAAGAAGACAGGAGGCAGTGAGTTTTGGGTTGACGCAGCCTCGCTTCATAGTATGAAGGGAAGTTGCCAACGTGTTGGCAAGAAGGTCCCGCCAGGCGGACCCACAGCCTGCTCCCCACAATGCCCCCTTGTGGCGCACCCCATAATTGCTATCCCTTAATAAGTCGTTCCCAGGTTTCTCCATTAAAAATAAATAAATTGACTCTCAATTTTAAATAACATAAAATATGTGACTATACATTTTGTGTATGTCACACTAACTTTTAAGAGTCGTCAGCGTTCTTTGTATAATTCATGATATCTCTGGCCGATATAGAACTCAAGACCTATCAGATTATGAGACTGATCGAGGCAGAATGGACACGTTCAATTGCAACTTCTTACATAAATTTAAGTCCATTCAACCCGGAGTAGGCGAGGCTTAGGACTACGTTTGCGACGTTTAATACCGACACAAACTGATACAAAGCCTCCCCTCTCCAAAATTCACTTTCTTACCCTACATATCTGGTGCCCCGTGTGAGGACGCGCATACATCTTAATTATATAATTCATACTCTGACGAAACGACTGTAAACGCCATTTTAAAACTACGCGGTCGACCCCCACCCCGTGCGCTCCCACCCAGTGCGCTCCCACCCCTTGTGCTCCCACCCCGTGTAGGCCAGTGGTCCCCAAGCTACGGCCCGCGAGCCGGATCCGGCCCTCCTCTGCTTTTCCCCCGGCCCCCTGAACAATGCCAGAATATATTTTCATATATGGGCTTGCTCAAACCAAATGACACAAAAGTGTGACAAAAGAACAGTTTGATTTCAATAATCAAAGGATATTTTATGTTTTCCATGTCTCCAAACACCTCCTCTGTCCATTAGAAGTTGCCAGAACATAACTGTTTTATACATTAGACAAGTTTTCTATAGACAATAGAATAAAAACAAAGTGATAATTTCATATAGTCAACCAATTAAATGTGAAAACAGACCAAATGGTTTTTCTCTCTCCTCTCTCCCAAGTTTAATTATTAGAAATAGATGGACGAAAACATCACGCTGTTTCAAAGGTCATTTATTCAACAATTCCCTTTTTCTAAATCAACTCATTTACTTCTATTGTGTGAAAAATATTAATCTTGTAGGAGTTTATCTGCCGTTTCTCCTTTTTCTTCCTTTCTTCTTTTTCCCTTTTTCTCAAAATGAAAACATGCTATTTTCTATGTAACTGGCATCACAACAGAATGGCCAAATCAGTAAATGATTTCGTTGTTTAAAAACGTGGGAAAAATTTATATCTGTAAATCTTTCCTTTTGATTTTATCCACACTATCTCTCTAATCCGTCCGTGTTTAATGATCTTTTTTTTTCTTCTAATCTTAATAGCGATTTTAGTTTTAGAGTTATAACCCTTTAAAGTCGATCTAAAGTTCAACTGACGCTTTACTGTGAACACACTCGTCTGTGTATTTATGAAATTGGACTTTAGCAGTAAAACGTTTCTTAAGCTATGAACTTAGTTATGTTGCCCTCACCGGAAAGTTGGGGACCCCTAGTGTGAAACTCTCATTGAACGGTTTCAATTGAACAAAATTGCGTCCTCGTTTACGACAAAACGAACCTTGTATGCATCATATTTTTATTTTAACTTCTAGGTCTCAAAATCCTGAGATTAAAACCTCAGGTCACACACGACTATAGTAACGTGGCAAACGACTCGTAGGCCTGCGAGCGTCCCACATAGTCGACGAAGTCGCTTTCGGAGGGAAGCGCAAAACGGGCCCCGACCCTAAGTCCAAACGCGGACTTAGAGAGCCCACCCAGTCTACCTGCCTTAAAGGGGACAGGCTGCGGCTCACAGACGCTGCTGCGTGCTAACGCCGCGTCCCTACTTGCTGCGTGCTAACGCTAACACCGCGTCCCTACTTGCTACAGCTAACGCTGCGTATTAACGCTGCGTACTAACGCTGCGTACTAACGCTGCGTACTAACGCTGCGTACTAACGCTGCGTGCTAACGCTAACGCCGCGTCCCTACTTGGTACCGCTAACGCTGCGTATTAACGCTGCGTGCTAACACTAACGCTGCGTCCCTACTTGCTACCGCTAACGCTGCGTATTAACGCTGCGTACTAACGCTGCGTGTTAACGCTGCGTACCAACGCTGCGTACCAACGCTGCGCACCAACGCTGCGTATTAACGCTGCGCACCAACGCTGCGCACCAACGCTGCGTACCAACGCTGCGCACCAACGCTGCGTACCAACGCTGCGTACCAACGCTACGCACCAACGCTGCGCACCAACGCTGCGTACCAACGCTGCGTACCAACGCTGCGCACCAACGCTGCGCACCAACGCTGCGTACCAACGCTAACGCCGCGTCCCTAGTTGCGACCGCTAATGCTACTGCTGCGCCGATAACCGCCAACGCCGCGTTCCCTGGTTGCTAACGTTAACACTGCGTTGCTCATGACAACGCTGCGCTGTTACCGACACTGCGCCCCAACTGCAACCCCTGACGTTGACAACTCACACCCAGTCTCCCTCAAGTAAGCAAACCCCAATCCAAAACGCCATATCGACGTAATAGCCAACCCAAACAACCCGACTAACGTCTAACGACCAAACGCTCAACAAGCTCTGGCGTGATAAAAACAAACTGTCATTACGCCATGGGCTTCTGGTTTATACTTCGAACACACACACTTCACACATACTCGTGATGCATCGAAGCATGAGGGGGGGTGATGTTGACACACGCCCATGGCATACCCACCACGGGACCATACAGGGTGGTAAACAAACTCTCAACCGCAGTGTACCAGATAGCGATTAGCGACCCCAGCCCAGGCCCACTTAGCGTACACGCTGGGCGCTGCAGTCCCCATAGACGTCAACCCACTGGACCGCGAGGGAGCCTTCCTAGTCACCCTCCCGGTAGTCCCCAATGAAAGAGATCACTAACCTAGGGACCTGGAAGGACAATGTTCACGTTAAGTTCCAGACACCTGACATAGCAGCCTACCACGACAGCGCTGCCGAACATGGACGTTTAAGCCGGCGTCCCCAGGCCACTCTTTCTATCATAGAAGGTGAACCAAAGGCTTGAAACCCACCAGGAGTCACCAGATCAGACCCAAACAAATCTACTTCGACACCCAGACTGTTTCCCAGACAATCATGCCCGTCATCCCCGTTTATATATATATATATATATATGTATCTCCCTCTTAACCAAGTCCTCTCCAACTTGCTGCGTCGTACCTTTTTGATCATCCTCTCACTCCCCCCTTTTAGAACGAGCAAGAAGGGACGAAGGAACCCCCTCTCACCAATGAGTGCCTTAATAACTCGCCCAATCGCTGCCAAAACAGCCAGCCTTATGATTTTTTAAATGTTTTTCTAGTTTTCCTAGTAGTAGAAACTCGTGTTGGTCTCTCGGCTTGGAACTTTTAGCCTTCCAGACCAAGAGATCCAGGAGCTAGGTACACCGACCCAAACCCTAGAGTTCACTGCCCCTGTAGCTCCCCCCCACTCCGTGAGCCCCTGATCTCGGTTAGAACTAGCCTGTAGGGCCAGGACACGCCTTAGAGGAAACTCGGCCCCCACGAACCAAACTAGAGGCTTGAGACCCAACCGCCACAGACCTGGCCCCAGCGAGGCGCGTGCTAACTATTGAGTCACATCAACGAGAATGTTCTTAACATATTAACCTAGATCACTCACTAACAACACCCAAACAGGCGAGACAACCGACTGAGGACACCCGCCCCGGCGTCTCCGACACGACATGTACCTTGTCGGAAGGTACATCCCTGTCGTGGGGGGGGGGTGTGTAAGGTAATAAAATGCACTGCCCCCGCGATGACCCAGGCAAGCCGGCCAAGCCGGTTGTGTGTGAGATAACAAAAACACACGGCTCGGAACATCTAAGGCGATGGAGGTCGGATAGAGCACCACAATGGCTCACGTAGATAAAGCAGTAATCTCAAAGACAGTGATCGTCCCCAGAGCACACCTCTGGCCCCCACCCCCGGCGAGTTCAAAGGGGGCCAGTGGGTCTGCATCGCCTCAAATACAAAGCCTCCCCTCTCCAAAATTCACTTTCTTACCCTACAGAACCTACCGCTGATTAACCAACAACATTGAAAAAAAATCAGATCCATGTCAAATGT